AGAATTAATGTTTCCATATGTACAATTACTTAGAGTGTTATCTCATTTAAATTGAAAACGTATGAAGTATTTTCAAGAGAAATTTGATCCTACTCCCATCTCACTTGATGTTGCTATATTTTATTCCTGGTGTGTGTGTGAAATCATGGAGTTGGTTGTTTCTGCCTTAAAGATCTGTGAGCTGGCCCTGGCTGGTTTGGCTCAGTGGATAGAGCGTTGTCCTGCAGACTGAAGGGTCCCTGGTTTGATTCCAGTCAGAGACACATGCCTGGGTTGTGAGCTTGATCCCCGGTAGGGGGCGTGCAGGAGGTGGCCGATCAGTGATTCTCTCATTGATGTTTCTATCTCTCCCCTTTCCTCTTTGAAATCAATAAAAATATCTTTTAAAAAAGATCTGTGACCTTTTGTATATTATATGGACTTCACTTATGTACACTTTATTATGGTATATTGGATACATTGTAAGGCACACATTTTTTGATCTATTAGAGAATTATACTATTGATTGAATCTTTTAAAATAGTTCTGATGTTTTTAAATGATATTATCAAAGTTAATTCCCTTCCTGTGCCATCATTTTGGGATGAAAACTTTATGAGGGCATTTCAATTTGTGTTTGTGACGTTTAGGTGAAGGGAAGTACACTTAGGGCTGTGCTCTTTGTGTAATAGGTTTTCCATAACTAACAGATATATTACAGTACCAGTGATGTGGTTGTACCAGTGATGTAGTACCAATAATGTAGCCAGGATGCAGAATTGGCATGAACTCTGCATGTGGAGAGAGGACACCTTTCCCCGGCTGCACTGCTAACTGATCTCAAAAAAATTAATTCTATTTCTTTCATGTCACATTTCATGTTCATTTATGTCTTTTTCACTTTATCTTCTAGGCTGCCGTTTATTTTGCAGTGCTAAAATCACAGCATGTAAAGCTCTTCCTGTCCCACATCAGCCCTTCATTCCCATGTAACTCAGTAGTTTGCAATTTTACTAATGCAATGACTGACGTCAGAATTTGGCAAATATTTAGCTCTATATTCATGACATAGGTAGACTACCACTCATGTTTTTTGCTAACAACTATCTATGTCCTATATTTCCTATATAACAAAGTGGTAATATGCAAATTGATCCTCATGCCCTCACACAAGATTGCTGCCCCCATGTGGTCAAAGATGCCTGGCAGGGGAGGTTAGTTGTGGATAATCAGGCCAGCAGGGGAGGACAGTTAGGTGGCTATCAGGCAGGCAGGCAGGCAAGTGGCTAAGGTTTTTGGCCCTTTTTATGTTGGTTCTTTTGTCCATGTTGAGTTTGAAGTCTTTGTGTGTTTTGCACAATTTTCCTGTATATGTTGACTTTTTTATTAATATACCAGAGGCCCCACCTCATGACGCCTCACATGATCTGTGGATGCTGCTGGTGCCGCACCCAGCAACACCTCGCACGCTCCGTGGATGCTGCGGGCACCCTGCGATGCTCCGGGGACACTGCCAGCACACTGATTCTCCATAGATGCTGCCTGCGCCTCGGGCGATGTGGGTGGGGCGAGGGCTCGAGAGGTGCTGTAGCACCTCCTGCTGATTGGTCGTTATAGCATGAGGGCTTGACGACCATTTACATAATAGCCTTTTATTATTAAGATATATACTAGAGTAGTGATGGCAAACTTTTTTTTTTCCCCAATGGCAAACCTTTTGAGCTTGGCGTGTCAGCATTTTGAAAAACCCTAACTTAACTCTGGTGTCGTATCACATACAGAAATTTTTGATATTTGCAACCATAGTAAAACAAAGACATATATATTTTTTATTTTTTAATTAAATCTTTATTGTTCAGATTATTACATTTGTTCCTCTTTTTTCCCCCCTTAACTCCCCTCCACCCAGTTCCCACCCCACCCTCTGCCCTCACTCCCCGCCCATTGTCCTCATCCATAGGTGCACC